GTGAGGGTGCATTTAATGCACAACGATCGAGTTATTTAAAGATTATTTAATATGTTTAAAGTTGGAATCCCAAAGCCGGCTCTAGACTTTGCAGCTAGCTGTGGAAGAAAACAGAATGTGCAGGAAGCCCGCAAAGGCGGCTGCAGAATTTTTGAGCTGGCTCTACGGAGAAAACAGAATGCAGGAAACCCGCAGAGCGGGCTACAGAAATGGTGAGCCGGCTGTATAGAGCCGGCTCTATAAGTGTAAGTCGGCTTTACTGACAATTCTGCAACTCGAATTAAGCGACCTGCAGAGCATTAAATGACCCCCAACGGCTAGTAACAGCTATTTTCAACCATGGGGTTATAAATATGGTTTAGAAGATCTGAAGAAGTTTAGAGAGCATTGTATTGAATATCTTTACCTACCTATATGAACTTTAACTAGCGATTTTGATCTATGAGAGATCTTTGTTTGTAATTCTCTTGTTGTGCTATTAGTGAGTGATCTTGGGGGTGTGTTGATTCCTTCAAGAGTGATCTGTAGAGAGGATCTTTGGGGTTTAAGTGTAAAGGGGTGAGATTGAGAGAAACACCCTTCTTCATGTAAAGGATTGAGTGGCTCCTTTAAGCCACCATTGTTCTTGTTAGTGGAAAGTGTGGAGGAAATCCTTGGTGAGTGAAGCTAAAGTAGAGGACTAGGCTCCAAGTGGTTAGACCGAACCTCTATAAAATCATTCTGCAAGCTCTTTTTCTCCACTCTCTCTTTAATTTTTGTTTGGTGGTTGCAAAGAAGCGAAAATTCTCCAACTCCAATTCACCCCCCTTTTGGAGTGCATTGAGTCAATAGAGTTAATAGTCAGCTAATAAAATTAACAATCAGTTAATAGGACATTAAATAAGAGCTATTCTATTCAATTTTTATAGGTGAAGGATTAAAATATATAAATTTATTAAAATAAAAGATTAAAAGTAAGTTTATGCCTCAAATTACGAAGGTCTAAGAAGAATCTCTTATACTGGTACTCCTATGAAATCGAAACGTCAACTGGACGATGGAGATGAGCCAAATAATGGAGGATCGTCCACGCACATGACATATTAGTATTTATTGGGGCTTCTTGTAAGATCACGCACATGGGTACACTTCAACCAAATATAAAGTACTTCAATTCTGCTTAGCTTTAACGTCCTCAAGGATATATTTGTTTCCTTTTGTTTTTAAAATTTTGCTATCATAAGCATATATATGTTGAGATTTTGAGGCGCAGATCAAAGCGAATTCAATATAAAAACATATTACATTAAACCATGTAGGTTGTATGATGTGAAAACACCTTAACAACTCTTTTAAAAAAAAAAAAAATAGTGTTAAGTTCAGTCCCCCTACCCCATAATTGTAATAATTCAAAAAAATTACAAAAAAAAAAAAAATCATTGAGGAAGAAGAGAAGCAATCTCAACGCAAAACTCACGAGTCACAATCACAGCCATAAAAATTTTCAATTACACCTTAGTAACTCCCTTCAGATTTGAACACTTTTTTCTTCATTACAAAAATTCAAGAGATAATTCCCTACAATATAGAAGTTAATGTTTAATATTCCATATTCAAAGAAAAAGTAAAAGTTGCATGTATATATAAATTGGATTTAATAAATACAATCACGTATAGCATGAGAAATATCATATTTATTCTAGCTCACCACTATGTGGCCCTCAGGGCTACGCTTCTCATTAAAAAGTAAAGTAAGGGTACCTTTGAAAATATGTGCAGTTTGAGTCCTAGGTTTGATATTTTCTCATTCCCTTAAAAATAAATACTAATTATACTAATGTAATTTTCACTGTAAAAAAAAAAAATCATATTTATTCCACTCCCATTTTCTTCCGCAACACCTTTTCTGAACTATTCTTAGTCAAACTTGAAAATGAGTTTTTGGAATTGTATATGAAAGAAACATGAGAAATTGAAAAGATCACTTCCCCCTCACCCCCTTTTCTTTTGCACTTTACAACAATGTTTTGAAAACCGATTTGGAGATCAAACCATTATGACCTTCAGTTCTTAGTTTGACTGATTTAATTAGTTAAATCGTCAGTTTAATTATAAATGAATAAATATAATATGATGTAATAATCTAAGAAGATAGGTGGAATGGCTCTATTGGTTTGTCACTTCGTCCATCATGGAGGAAACGTGTGTTCGAGTATGGGGGCATCAAAATGTTTTTATCATATTTTTAAATCTTCCAAAATGTAAAACACACGTAATTTATATAAAAAATTATAAAGATTAATTTTAAATTAACTAATTAATCAATTAAAATCATCTATTTAAATATTAATTTTTATAATTTTT